TGAAACTCCAGCAAACGTGTTTCATTTTCTGGACCATTCAAGTATAAAACTCAAAAGGCGCAGTAAGGGTTAACAAAGCCATCCTAAATGTAAAGTTTAGTGAAAACACTGAGGCGTCAGATTTGCATTCAGCTCAGCTCCTCTGCTCGCAATTGCTGGAATAATTAAAGTGTTTTGCTCTTACTGCTGCCTCTGCTCCATCCAAACAAAACTGCTAAAGTACATCATTACACTTCTTGGCTGTTGAGAGAACAAAAATGCATTCCCAGCCTTTTAGGCCTTTTAAACAGGACGAGATGTAGAATTTCAATATGAAGTCTGGGAAATGATTTTCATAAAAGTCAATGATGAAAAGTAGAATAGAGCTGTTGTATCGGGTCATTTTGTGCAATCCATTAAAGTTCTGTGGGAAGACTATTGTGATTTAGATACAAAAACATCTGTCTCTGTGCATGAGCCACTTAATAGTAGTATATCTTAATGGTCTGATCAAATGCCTGAGGAGGTTTTCTGGCACATACTGGAGGTTTCTTGCAGGGAGACCTGGTTTTGTGCTGTGGTTTCAGTCTGAGCTACAATTTGATTTGATATTTGATGAACTGAAATGTTGTGATATTGGTAGATTTTATATAAAACAGGCTTAAGAAATGAGCAATGTGGGGCGTCGAGTGGCGCAGTGGGTTGAGCAGGCGCCCCATATGTAGAAGCTACAGTCCTCCCTGCAGTCGGCCCCGGTTTGAGTCCCTCATCGGACAGCCCTTTATTGCATGTCATTCCTCCTCTGTCTGCCTCCCCATTTCCTGTCTCTCTCTACTGTGCTATCCAATAAAGGCATAAAAAGCCCCAAAAAATATGCTTTAAAAGAAATGAGTAATGCTCACATTGTAGCTTACAAAATGAGATTTGAAATGAGCCACCCTAGCTGTGCAGCAAGAGTTTTTCCTCCCCACTGTTGCCAAGTGCTTGCACACGGTGGGAACTGTTGTGTTTTTCTCCATAATATTGTAAGGTCTTGACCTTACCTTCTTAAGTGCCTTGAGATAATGTTTGTTATGATTTGGCGCTATACAAATAAAATTTAAATGAATTGAAATTGTATTGAATAGTAATAGATATGGCAATGTCAGTCTGTTTATTGGTCTACCCTGTCGGTCCAGACTGAAAATCTCATAGCCATTAAATTATGTACAGACATTCATGGTTTCCTCCTCATGACTGTGACTGAAATATGTTGGCACAGACATTCCCGTTAAACTCAGGATGAATGATCAGTTTGGTGATTTGTTAACTTTTCGTGTAGTGATATTCCCGGGAGCTTTATCTGAACTTTAATTAATTAGCAAATATCACCATGCTAACTAAAGATGGTGAACATTATACCTGCAAAACATTAGCGTGTTAGCATTGTCAGTACAGGCATGTTAATATGTTGACATTAGCATTTAGCTCAAAGCACCAGCTACACCAGTGCAAGATAGCTTTTCTTCTTTCAACATAATATTCCTTGCAGTTTTGGTTGTTGTAGTTCAGCACACAAGTCTACTTACTCTTAATAAAAGAAAGAGATACCCATTAGAACTAATGTATTAAATCTGAATAAACATGCCAGAATGGTAAATAATGCAAAAGCCATTTGTAAAAAAAAAAAAAAACAAAAAAAAAACAAAACAAGTATTTTCCTTCAACAAACCATAAAAATCTAACATGAGTTTGACTGAGACTTCCTAATGGCGGTGTAAAGAGATCTGATCAGCCATCTTTGTTCAGCATTACCTGCAATCTGCATTTGCATCAGATCTGTAGGTGATAATTAGCTATGCCATGATCCATGTAATGAGAGATTATTTTTGGAGATGCTCACAGATCAGACGTGGTGGGAAGAGGTAGAAAGTGGGGGGAGAGGAAGAAACGAGCACATTGAAAAGATCAAGTCTTCCCACACTGTTTAAAGCAAAGGGATAGTAGCAGATGGTAATGTGCAACAACACGGAACGCCTGCTTAGTAACAGAGTTTTATATCACCAATATAGAGCAGACTGGAGATGACGCCTGTGCTGCCAGCTTCAATAAGTTCCCCATTAGACACGCTGTCTGGTATGTTTGTGTACAGTACGTCTGCTCACACACAACAATACACACACAGAGGCACAACCACCTAGTCTTTATTCCCTGTCAGCTCTGCATTAATAAGCTCAGTGTTTTTTTTCCCACATTTACAGCAGATTTCCATGTTCTTCATCTCTCTTGTCTTTGTTCACAGTAAATGTGAAAGGAACCAAATTAACAGAGGTTCAGTTAACTTTACAGGAGGCCGATTTTCTGTGATAAAACATTTGATCAAAGCGCACTCTTTTGATTTAGTAATTAATCATTCAAATAAAATCACTAAAGCAACTTTGATTATCAAGTAGACCACTAAAAGCTTTGATGATTACATGTGAGACTGATTTTAAAAAAAAGAAACCCTATGTGCCTTTTTCTTTCCACACGATGACTCACACTTTTAGGTCTCGATGATTAAAAGAAATGGTTTGACTGGGTTTAAGCTCTGCTGGTTACAGGTAAGGAGGAAAGCAGACTTTTGCCATGGCCTTTCTCTAATGATCTGAGCTGCCATCTGCACTCAGCTGTGTGCCAGGCAGGCCCTGGGCCTTCCTTACATCTATCACCACAGTCAGAGGGTAATGATACAAGCGAGCCAAGGAGAGGCAGGGGAGGGGGCAAGACATCAATGTCTTCCTCCTCAGGAGTCACAGTGACCTACACACACATAGAAAGTCCTGACTTTTGGATTTGGTTGACATATACAAATCCTGTTACTGCTTCTCCAGTCCCTATGCAATCCTAAAGCACATTCTATAATTAATTACTTTCCTCTTTCTGACATGGAAAAAGATTGACAACTGTTCTGTTTTTGTGTCTGTGTCTTTTGGCCTCCCTTGATATGTTAAAATGTCACCCGTAGTCACTGTGAACTCATTTACTGATTTTTCCATGCTAGTTTGGTATGGCCGCGGGGGTTTTGGCTCTGCTCCTGGGGGAAAAGCCTTTACACGTTTAGGAGTAAACAAAAGGAGACTGATGTAATTGGCCTCCGGGTAAATATTATTTCAAATGAGCTCAAAAGAAATACTTGGAAAACAACCGGCATTTTGTGGATTTCTCATTAGGATTTTCCAAGTGAGCGTGACCTTGTTGCTGATGTGCATTTAAATTACCTCTGTGCCGCTCGGTTATTCTCCCCTCATCACTGGAATGAATCAAAAGTCAGTAATCTAATACTGTTATGATGTAGCCTACATGTACATTCAATTTTAGGCTTCATCATAATATTTTTTCTGGTGCTTTTTTTTTACTAAAATTAAAAAGAAAAAAAAACAAGCATTTTTTATTTTTGTCTCTGGGATCGCTGTGGGAGTCACTGTGCAGCTGACAGCCACTGGATCACAGTCTGTGGTTTTTTATGGCCAAACTTACTCGCTGTTAGAACCAGCAGGCTATATGTGACACTTCTGCCTGTCCACACATATTAAACTGGAGACAGTGAGTTTCATTTTCAATTATCCCTTGACCTCTGAGGCAGATTAGTTTCACTGCTCTAGTCACTGAAATGTGCATAAATGTACAAATAATCTGCAACTTGAGAGAAATAAAGTGCTGACAGTGATGAAGAAGCTGCTCTGCTGTTTGTCCAGTCACAACCAGGTCATTTTCATTTCAAAATAAAATGCTCTTTAAATGAAAACCTGAAATCACTGTTGCTGACTGTACCAAAATATGAGATGACAAAATAATTGACTTCTGAGAGCTGGAGCCTGCTCGTATCAAATGGCTCCTCATTCTTTAAACTGAAATCAATGCCACTAAGTGAGTGCTTTCTGTTGAATTCCTGCAAGTGCTACTGCCTCCACTGACAGAGCAGTTTGTTATGCCAGTGACCAGAAGCAGGGAGAAGGGTACAACAACTCCACTCCGCCCCAGTGGAATAACAAAACCTGTTTCATCCAGACACCTGGAGACTTGATAGAAAAAAGGAGACATGTGCAGGTTGCCTCTGCCTCTTCACAGAAAGGAGACAAAGAGACAAATTGCTTGTAGAGTGGAGGATTTAAATTAAATATAACATTGAGGCAAGAAAAACTGGGACTGTGTCCACTGTATTCTCAGCTGGCATTCGTAGCCACACATTACGTCTATATTTACTCCTGTCAAACAAGGGAAAGGTTTAAAGAATGCAGCAAATGTTTAACTGTAGGTGATACATCTATAGTGATATATGAGACCATGTCTGCGGCTGTCAATTAACTGCGAAAATACCCTACAGTTTATAAGTGAAGTTTATTGATTAATTAAAAAGCTCTTTCTGCCAACTGAAATGTTGATGCAGCCAGAAAATAAAATCCTCAGAGAAAAAAATTTATTCAACATGTCATCTCTGAATGGTTGTTGCTCTGCCTGTCAGGCTGTTTTAGATATTGTGTCAGTCAATGGAAGAGGCTAATTCCCTCTCTCCCCCCTCAGGCTTAAATGTACGATCTCAATCAGTGAGAGACTCTTATGAAGACAGTGAGACCCTCCCTCTGCACATTAAAAAAACAAGGAAGTGTGTTGTGTATTTCTTGTTTAATACAGTTTGCTTTAACCACACATCTCAAGTAATCTTGTTGCAACACCACAATTTACACATCAACACTCTTTCAAGAAGGATACAGCTGGAGTTACTTTCAGACAGATTTGATCACGACAAGTATAGCTGGAGGGTGGACAACAGTGTGACACCGTCTACTGTAAACAACTACAGCATTCTCTGCCTTTTTAATCTGATGCGGTCAAATTTAGTTAGGCCTGTTTTGGTGAGGTGCCATGACAATGCACAGTAAGATATTATATTCAGGCTGTCCTGTACATTTGCTTTACTTTCTCATTGCCACTGACGCACTGGTTAACACATTATTGCACTGAGCTACAGAGAGGCAAACGGTCAGACATCAGTGGAAGGAAGTGAGCTTTTTAGTCCAGAGGCCTCAGCACCCTGGACAGCTCCTCATGCAGCCGCACTGAATACGCAGCGTCACCCAACCTGACCGGGTGTCCTCCATGAGACTGCTTCAGTGTATTGATTCGTTCAGACTGTGCTCACTGGGTGAACTCCGACTCATGTTTGATAAGCTCGCCATGAGGGATTTGACTTTGTGTGCGTAATAGTTCCGCAGGTTGACCGAGGGCACCTCTTTTATCTCCTCGTCGAAATCACAGCTTCTCATCGCTATCTCCAGCTGCTTTTGTCTCTTATAGAAGAGGGAGAATTTATTGAAAATGAGAGTAATCGGAAGCACAACTACTAAGATCCCTGCCAGGATACACGCCGAGGCGGTCAGCTTGCCCGCTATGGACACCGGAACCACGTCTCCGTACCCGACGGTGGTCATGCTGACGGTGGCCCACCACCAGCACGCCGGAATGGTGGAGAGATCCTCGCTGTCCTCTTTCTCCACTGTGTAGGCCATGACGGAGAAAAACGATACCCCGACCGCCAGGTAGAGAAGCAGCAGGCCCACTTCTTTGTAGCTGTTCCTGAGGGTGGCCCCCAGGGAGCGCAGCCCCGTGGAGTGACGGGCCAGTTTCAGGATGCGGAAAATCCTCATCAGCCTCAGCACTTGCGCAACGCGTCCCAGGTTGGCCAGCGCCGGGCTGCTCTCCACCACCAGGTTTATAAGGAGCGTCAGGTAAAACGGAAGTATGGACACCAGGTCTATAACGTTTAACGGGTGCTCGAAGAAATGCAGGAGATCTGGCGCCACAACGAACCTGGCGACCAGCTCCAGAGTGAACCAGCCGATGCCAATGTGCTCCACAGTCTCGAAACGGGGGTCCTCTCTGGGTTGCCCCTCGCTGTCCAGCAGGCTGAACTCGCTCATGCTGTTCATGCACATAGTAGCGATGGAGCCAAGCACCACCAGGATGGAGAGGATGCTGATGATGCGGCTGGCCACGGAGTAGCCGGGGTTATCCAGCATTAGCCAGATGCGCCTCCGTGCGCTCCCGAGCAGCTGTTTGTCGAACTTGGTGGCGTCGTTGTAGAACTCCAACAGCTCGTCAAAGGATGAGGTGGTGCTGCCCTCGTCGCTCCGCTCATCCCAGTCCTCCCGGTCCTGGTCCATTTTCCTACAGTGGTAGGCGCTGCTGCAGCAGGAGTCGATGAAGAACTCGTTGATGCCCCAGTATTCGATCTCCTGGCTGAAGGAGAAGATGCACAGCTCGGCCATGACATGCAGCCGCCCTGTGTTGTAGAAATTCAACACGTAGGGGAAGAGAGCGGGGTTTCTGTCGAAGTAAAACTCCTTCTCTGTGTCGTCGTAGTCGTCGCACAGTTCCAGGATGGACTCTTTGGACTGACAGCGGAGTAGACGCGCAAGCCTCGTCTCGGGGAACCGGGAGAGAGTGTCGGACTGGAGACGCTTCTTGAAGCCGCCCACGTTGATGCGGATGGCCGCGTTGTCATCCATGTGAACCCCGCCGGCCGGTTCCCTCAGGACGTGACCTGTCATGTCTGCAGAGAGGGACACACATAGACGCACGGCGCACACAGAGAGAAAGAGTGACAGACCAAATCACACTGTCACGAAGAGAAAAAAAGGAAGAGACAAAGAGATGCACACAGTCAGAGAGAAGAAAGAAAAGAAGAAGGGGAGATGTTGTGAACTGAGGCCAAGAGACAGATTGTATCCTTTGAGTTTATGACACATGCTTTAAAAGTGAAAGACTGAGCTGAATTACACCATGTGTTTTTACAGTTACAGGAAGAGCAGTTATTTTCAGCCTCGCTTTCACGGAAACAAAGACACATGGAGGAACTTACTTTAAAGCGCGGCCAGTTCTCTGGATCCTCCTACAAGAAGACTCCGCATGTGGACTCCACTGATGGTTGTCCCTCCACTGGGGGACACGCTGTGGCCTCACCGTGAAGCTGAGACCTCTGTCCCCTGGGGTCCAGACAGGCGCGTCTCTGTCAGGTTGAACCTCACAGCTTGAGCAGAGGAGAAAGAAGCCTCCTGGACTTGGCGCGGTGTCAAATGTGATGTTGCTTTCAGAAAGAAAGAAATTTAGAGTCCCTTCCTCAAATATATCCGATGGCTTGTTGAAGCTGGTGGTCCTCACATCATCCATTCAGCGCGTTTTACTTATTCAGCGTCAGGTATCAGCCGCGAATTATGGGAGCCATAAGAGCTGATACACGCCTAGGTAGTGGCTTTTGTTTGTGCGAGGGAATTCCTCTCTCTCTCTCTCTCTCTCTCTCTCTCTCTCTCTCTCTCAGTTCTTTCTATCTGTTGCTGCGCAGCAACACGTAGCTCTCCCTCTGCACCGCCCTCCTCCTCCTGAAGTGATCTCAGCATCATGGTGCTGAGGGGCGAGGCGCAGCTCCTCGAGGAGAGGGAGTCACCAAGTAACGAACGCGCGGGCAGCATCCACAGAGAGAGAGAGAGAGAGAGAGAGAGAGAGAGAGAGAGAGAGGGAGGGAGGGAGGGAGAGAGAGAAGAGCTGTGCTGACACGATATCAAGTTAAAATAAACTAAACCCGCTGTACATTACAGTCCTGCCATGGGAGATTAAACATTATTTGATATAAATTAATGGCAGAGACACCATAAGAATATTACAAGAAACCATGAGAGAGTATAACAGCCACAGGTGTACTGCAGTAATTTAGTGTTGCACTTCCATAAAGTCCAAGGACTCACAAGAGATTGAAAATTTTATTCCCTTGTATGGGTCAAGCTCCAAAAATACTGGATCCTACATTTCAAACGATGTAATTGCAGCTGCATCTTTCATCAGACCCTCCCTGCCTGGTAAACAGCCACACCTTCAAACTGACTCCCCCACTTTATTACCTTTACAAATCTGAATCTCAAGCCTAGATAACTCCGATCACTCCATCAGGGGTTATTTAGTTAAACTTCACAAATCTCCTCAGGAGCTACACAAGATGTCATAGCTACATAAAATGTCTACATCACACATAAAACTAAATTTGGTACCAGAGAAGCAGCATAGCTCTCCTGTCTCAAAGGTATTACAGTCAAAATGCTGCTGTTGTTTTAAAGGACTTACATTGGTGGATCGATGCTTTCATGTAAAGGTCACAATTGATTAATGAGTCCATGGTCATTGATCAAACACATTTACTCTCATGCAGCTTGGATCAATAGAATTATGACATTCAACCCAAGCCAACGTCTCCTCACTCGAAATGTTGGTCGTTAATCCTCACTACAGAGTCTGTGGAAAACTATGATGTTTGATCCAAGGAAGAAAAACCATATGAGCTTTTTCAACATCACCACCTGCATCTCCTTTCATCAGTACAGCGGCGATGTCATTAACAGCCCTGTCTGGCAGACCATAAAGCCATTGTTAAAGCGGCGGCCTTGAAGAGCAGCCTTGCTTTTACTGATTAAGTGCTGAGGGTTTTACTTTCACACATCCCAGTGTGTCTGATGAAGGTGATAGCAGGCGGCTGCAGACTAAAGCCGGCTCACAGGAATTCCCTTGTGTTTGTTAGGCCTAGTTGTTGTTTTTTGTTGTTGTTGTTGTTGTTGTTGTTAGTGTACCACCAATCAGCTCTATGTCAGCCAAAAAGGTGTCATGTAGGTAAATGGTTGATTACATCAAGAAATATGAGTTCATGGATGATATATCACTCCTACCCCAAAACCCTCTTAGTGGGGCACCTGATGATGTGTGCTGAAGCTAGCATCTCCAAACTGCCTGCATGTGAGGCATTCAGGGAACATTTGTAAATTAGACACAAGGAAGCTGCTGGGGTTACTTCAGGCACACTCGCACAGAGCAGAGCCAAGGGTATAATTGCAATGTCTTCCAATGTTATAGGGCATATCAAATTTATTCCCTTCTTGGGATTTTTGTTTGGACATTTTACATTTTACTTTAATGAAGTGGACTTATATTCTTAATTATTATATTCCTTATAAGAAACAGCCCTGACTTTGCATGTATTAAAGACACGCAGCAAGTTTACATCAGTCTCTGGAGAGTATTAACTCCCAAGCAATGCATGCTGGGAAGTCTGTAAATATGCTAGGCTACTTACAACCTGTTTAAGACAACGGCTTTCGCTGCATTTGAAAAGACATTCAGGATCATTGGAAGCAATTCCATACTTGTGTATTGTATTACAAAACTTTTCTGGAAATATAACCACAGGCTCCAGGCAGCACTGGAACTCTTTACCCCTGAATAGGCAGCCAGCACATTAATATTTCATCTCATTTTTTTTCTTCCAACAACTGGAGCTAACATGAGCATGTAAACCCATGGGATTGCCTGTGCGGATTGGGTCTTTAAAATTGTATTCAAACACAATATATCCTCTTTCTGAATGCTTCTGAGCGTTTAATACCTCTTCAGGTATTCCCAGTATGACAGCGCTATAGATCATCTCTTACGCCTCTACAGATCCACTACACCCTCACACAGCAGATTTGTAGGATTTGGGAAGCTTAACAAAGAGCCTTGAAAACACACACAGCCACTCTCTGCTGATTACAATGTTGTGAAATTACAGACTTTTTCCTATTAATGCTCCTCACTTGTGGGATCCATCTGTGGTTGTGTGGGAATGTTGTGGTACAATTATAATCCTATTTAGTCTCTCATTATCCTCATCCAGCAGGGTTGAGTGCCTGGGTATCATCATCCTCTGCTCAGTGCGATTCCTTGATGTTTGTGATCTGTATCATTCTGATTATTTCTCCTCATATTTCTGCTCACTGTGCAACAATAGTGTCATATAATCCCATGTAGGCAATAACATGCCTTACTACGGCACGTGGCAGTGTTCAGATGACACAGCTCTGAGGAGTAGGTGACAGGCAGCGTTTATTCTTTACCTGCAGAGAGATGCTCATTTTCTGAGCAGGATATCTGATTTAGGAGAAAATAATGGGTTCCTTCTCATTCTGAAAGCTCCATCAGTCCTGAATGGTATCTCTGACGGTGCACACACACACACACACACACACACACACACACACACACCTCCGCACATTTCATTAGCGTAGGTGAAGGAGCTTGATTTTCGTTTCAGTGAATGCCATCAGGACTTTGTTCAGGATTAGTGAGGTGGTCTGTTCTGAAGTATTTGTGCTATCCAGACTATCATCTGCTGATTATTCACTTTCTCCTCTTCATTGAAGCGGGTTGCTTTTGATTCATTCTTCTCCTACATGGTTGAGTTTAATGTGCTGCTTTGTGGAGGAGGAAATATTCCTCAAAGCTTCTTCTTCCTCAACAAGTCACCTTAGATCTGCTTTCTTCTTGCAAACCTGCCTTGATTTTCAATACATTAATGTAAAAATACTCCTTTACAAGTAAAATCCTACTTCAGAAAAAATACAGAGATGACATATTAGGCCTATTATATATGACATGATTAGACTGTTAGTACTGATGCCCAAGTAGCATTTAACTGGTCTAGCTAATCTAGGTCTAGTTAGTTTTAGCTATTTTATACATTAAAGCGGTTTAGTCCAGTTATTGGCAACCTAGGGGTCAGGGCCCCTCCCAGGGCCACAGGATAAATCTGACGGGTTATGGGATGATTAATGGGACATGAAAGGAGAAAAACAATGCACTATTTCTCAAATGTAGTATCATCTGTTGGACCATTCTCTTATATTTCCTGTTTTTTTTTTTGTTTTTTTTGTAAAATGTTGGATAATTTGGCCTCTTAAGGTCTTGAGAACATTTAAAAGAGAAATGTCTCTTTGTTGGAACTGCTAATGTGACAAGAGGCCCCAACCAGACATTGCGCTTTTGTAAACACCCCAAGCCAAAAATGTTGGGATTTACATTGTACATTGTATTTCATAAATTTCAGTTTTTATGTTAAATATTAAGTTTAAAAGTAACTAGAAACTCCAGTTGTCAAATAAATGAAGTGGAGCAAAAAGCAGAAGCATGGAGTCACATAAAATGTAAATACTCTCATGTTAAGTATGAGTTTTTCTACTGCTGTTCAATCTACAGCTGAAGTCAGTGATTAGGATTTTACAGTGCTGGCTGGTTTTGAGGAGCAAATCCTGTAAGAGCAAAATATGTACTGAGAATCTCCCGCATTTTAAATCATCATCATTTAGATTCTGCACATTCTTGGCAGGCTTTCATTCACGTCTCATATCTTTTGATGGAGACTTTTCAGTGTAAGTCTTATTGCTATGTCTCAGCCCCGGCAGCTGAAGATTAGTTAAAGGAAAAGAAATGCGCTCGGTAATAAAATGATGTATGGCTTGAATTTCCAGCTCTGGCCTTAAATCATAAGAAACAAACTACTGCGTTTGCCAATGGGATAAAATTTATTTGATATCAAACAATGTAGATATTAAATTGATTGCATGATTTGATATATTTCAATTAGGTGATCCTTTAAAACATCTTATTGTCAGTGGGTGTGTTGAGACTGGAATATGTAGTAAAAGGTTTCACAATGAGAAACTGCTCACAGCTCTAAAGGCACCAGTTTGAAATCTTAATATTCAGATCTCATATTGTATAATCATACCCACACGGTCAAGAGGAGACAACCATTATTTATCCTATTAAGCAAGACTTTTAGTAAATCAGTGACAATGACAGAGGTAGGTGAAGGGGTAGATAAGGAGTGGATGGAGAGGACAGGATGAGAAAGACACAGAAAAGAAGAGAGACAGTAAAAAAGAGGATGTGGATATCTCTCTATCTCCTCTCTCCTTCAAAGCCTGAGGTGCAGGCTCAAGTGAGAGTGTGTAGGAGTTTTTTGTGTCGACTAAATCTGCTGCTCCCCCTCTTTTGCTCAGCTGCCTTTATCGTTCTCTCTCCTTCCTTCATTTTCTTTCCCACTCCCTCGATATCTTAATGTGTCTCTAAACATTTTATATCCACCTCTTTTTCCTCTCTCCAGTTTCTTTCATTCTTTCCTCGTCGTTCCTTGCTTCAGTGCTCCAACATCTTTCTCCTCTGGAGGTCAAGGTTCAACATCCCTGACTGAAAACATCAGGGTGTCATCTGATGCATCTCTGAGGGGCTCCATAACCGCTGGGGAAAATGCCACGGCCTTCTGTGCATGACAAAAGCTGTCAGTCAAAGCTCTCTCCGAATGCCTGCCAGCAATGATGGATGAAGCAGTCTCCTCACAGATTTATAGAAATAGTAAAGAAAAAGGGGGAATCTGTTTAGTCGTGCTATTCTGACATGTGAGATTAAATATGCTTTCATTCATCTCTGCTCTTCCCCTTCACACCACAATAATCATATCAAATGGGCCTTGATTATTATGGCAGTGAAAGCAGGCTGACTCAGGACAAAGCACAGACGCAGAAGGAGTAGGATGAATACAGATAGAAGCTGCAGACGCTGATTCTCCTGCTGCCAGCTTTCAGAGTTAAAAAAAGTGTGAACTTCTGTGTAGTAATTGAACATATAGCATATTAACAAATTAACAAATTATCACACCTATGTCCATCTGACTGTAGTCTACGTGCTCGGCATGATGAGCACTAATTGGCTCTGATGTCATGTAACAGCAGCGATGACCTAAATACAGACGCAGCTCCCTGACAATAATTGGAACAATAAGATCTTGTGCTCGGTCTGCCCACACAAAGAAAATGGCACAGCATTGCATGGCTACTTGCAATTTATTTCTGTGCTTCAGCTTCATCTAGTTCTGACAGTCAGTTTTGACAGCTGGACCGCGGTGTCCTTCAGATTCAGTGTTAGTGTTAACACGCAGAGCTGTCTGTCCTCTACCCTCTGAGGATGAAAGGACTTCTAGCAGTGAGACATTGTTGACCTCTCTTTCTCTCTGTCTTCTTTTTATTTTGAATTGATGCTGTTCATCAAGGTTGTGCAGTTTCTCCAGAGCTTCAATAAACTGCAGCTGTACGCACAAGCACAGGGTGGTACAGGCCCCCTCCTGGAATCTGATTGGCCATGGTTTGCTGATACCAGAACCTCTGTAAGTGACTGTTAACATTTCTTTATGGAAAGTCAATCAAATGACCACAAAGAGATGCAAAACAACTACAGATGCAAAACGAGCACAAAGAGACATAAAACAATCTAATTCTGAATGATTTCTGAGAGGCTAGTCATGTAGAGAATATACTATAGTATACCTCAAGACTGAGTCAATATTAATCTAATCGAACCAGATTTTTAAAGTCTGAAGACATTTTTTATATGCAGATATAATATACATTATATATATGCATACATACGACAGTCGCAACAAGGTTGCAAAACTTACACAGTTTGAATCATTGTTTTGTTGACTGCTAATGACATGCTTAGCATGTGTCAAGGTCAGTGTGTCTAGCTAGCACAGGATGTTCTGTCATGGCTGATGACAGTTGCAAGTTATGTTGATTGTCCTAAAGCTAAGTAGCCAAATCAGAACAGGCCACACATCAGTATTCTTCAACATTTTTACTGCAAGACAGGCAAAATATACAGCTAAGTTTGTTCCATAGCTCAACAGATGCAACAATAATTGTTTATTTTCAAGTATAAGAGAATACTAACAAGTTATGTGGGGAAGAGAGCCCAATCGATAAATCAGTTCTAGTTGGTGGTCTTATAATATTTGCCTGCTCTGTTCATCATAAACAATAAAATAGATAAACTGTGTCTATTTTGATGCAGACCTTTGTTCTAAAGAAAACTTAGTAACTGTTCTTCAAAATAAGTAAATAATAGTGGGCTATAATATTATTTTAAAACAATGATTATTTTCATAATACTATGCTTACTGAGACAAAAAGCAAAATTTGTGAAATTGTATATATTTTTAATATGTTGCAACTGTCCCTGATCAGTGTTGATCAGGGTTGGCGTCAGTTGCAACATCTGAATTTTTCCATTCAAGTAAATATAGTGAATGATATGTCATATGTAATCATCTTTAAATGGTATGGGTAATTAGCAGACAGCTGTAAGTTTAATATATAAATGTTTGGTTGGTCTGGTCCAAATAGTCTCTAAGAGAAATGCAAAAAGCGTTGCAAGCATTTAAAAGAAAGAGGCAGCGCCATCTGTACAAGATAATTTTGTTTATGTTGAACACAAACAAGCTTTCATCATTCATGTATTCACAGTGAGGAAGCCGGTCTCACTTCATCCCTTTGACCGGGGACGTTCACACAGCTGGACCCATGCTGAATGGAGATCAGGTTCTGTCCTCCTCATGTGGCAGGCCTTGTTTGTCGTTGCTTGTTAGGATGACCTGTTTTTCATCTCCCTTTCAGCTGCTGATGAGGTTTCCAAAAGCAATGATGAGGAGTGGATGGGAATAAATTTGCAGATTCAAACAAATGAAGCACCTGTTTGTAGGTGAGCACATCCTCAGTCTAACAAGTGGTGGGACATCAAGTGACTCTCTTCAATCACACGTGTTGTCCAGACATCTGGAGACTGCCATCCATATTTCTCTGCCATCCTAAATGTGCCCAGCAGGTGGCAACTTGTTTAACATCATCTGGTCCAGTTAAGGGCGCCCTGACATGGTTTCTTGGGGAATCACCAAAAATGAGAAATGGTTTTATTTCCCCATCATTGAATTTATTAATTTAAACTAATTCCTGGATATTTTAATAGTAGGATTTACTCTCCATTAGGATCTTGACTAAACACACACGTACTCCATGACAGTGCTAAATAGGCTACACGCTTTCTACTAGATACTAGATAAAATGGCCTTGGCGTTTGCACTTGTCAAATTTCTGTCCATAAAGCTTATTCCAGCTACTGTATCAGACCCGGGAGGTTCAACACTCCTGCCAAGCAGAAAATTAAATTCATTTTCCATTCCAACCCAAACACTATAAATCTTGTGGCCATTGTGGCCATTTCATCCGACCTTGATACAGAATTCACAAGCAGGAGGCTCAACATGTGGGGAACAGATCCTTATGATATGACTCTGCATTTCAAACAACTGGTTCCTGTTCTTTTTCTATTTTACATCGATCAATAACAAACGACACGTGCTGCATCAAAATAAATGACTAGTTTAGTAAAGTTGCACCATGTATGTGCTTAAGTTTGCACCCAGTGCAACACTGTGTCGCTCACTGTGAAAGCAGCTGAATGGCACCTGTTCTCACATGGCTCCTTCAAGTGCACCTCGTAATGTCGTACATCACAGTAGCTGATCCTCACTGAATGTAAACAAAGTGGGTCTTGAAACAAAGTCCCGATGTGTTGATGCGGTGGATTGAAACCTTTTTCTCATCATAGAAGGTACCTTGATATTTTAATCATATAATTGTAAATAATTTCCCAAATAAAGTAATGAACACGGACAATAAGTAACTATAGGACATACAGTCCCCCGTGCGTGTTTACAACTTCGTTAATTGAAAGTCCGTTTTCCCGACCGCAAGTGAAGTCATCACAAACTCCTGATCCACTTCGCGACATTGAGGAACTTGTTCCCCTCCGAGTTTCCACTGAAGCGGCGGGGACGTGGGGGGCATGGGATGGGGTGAGGTGAACGACAGCGGACAAAGATGTGAAGAGAGTGGGAGCTGTGATCCAGAAGAATATTATTTCCTGCTTTCATGAGAAGGAAAACATGGCGAACTCAAGTTCTCCGCACGAGGCTCCTGATTTGACCTCCGCTCACCGGGCGGAGATCCTGGAAACCCCACTGCGGGTAAGTTTGTTTAAGTTTGTGGATCAGAGTGCGGGACGTACACGGTGTATGCAGTTCAGTCATTTCAGAGATATGTGGAAGATGTGTCAATGCATAATCATGTTAAGACCACTGTTGTTGACAACTTCGACCACATACTTCTTATTTGATGAGACTTACATCATCAAAGCGTTACAGTTATTTCAGATGTAAATTCATATGATAAAAGTCTAACATTTGGCCCACCATGTTAAGAATATAATTCATCCTTAAACTTTAATATGAAAACATGTCAGTAGGTCTATTTTGTATTTCTTGCTTACTCTATGTGATATAAATCATGTTGAACCTGTTTCCGTTGTTCAGCTTCACTGAACACTGAGCCAACACTGAGGAGAGATGAGGGTTTCTCTCTCTCTCTCTCTCTTTTTGAACTTTGAGGAACTTCCTTCCTTGAACTCCATCAAGAGCAAGAAGTTACACACTAATGCCCGAGACGAGATTAAGTTAGTGTCTGAAAACATATTGGGAATCAAAATGTAAGCCCAGCCTCTAAAGCTCTTTGGGTAATGAGCACTCAGTGCGGATGAGGAAGCCAGACAGCACAGAGATGTATGGGTGTTGGCACCTGTCAGAACTACTTTCCAAAGCGATCATGGCTAAATCATTGTGTTGAAAGGACTTTTACTTCTTTTGAACTTTTGACTTTGTAAAGTGCACCGTCTGAATCTGTGCATCAAGTTGAGTGTGTGCGTGTGTGTTGGTGTATGATAATGTAAAGTCTCTCCTTTTTGACTGAGTGTGTGTGTTTACTCGTTTCCTGCTGTGTGTGCGCGCCAGTCCTCTGCCCTCCCACTCTTATGCTAGAGACACATTCTCCTCATGCTCATCCTCCCCTGTCGGTGTGTTTCTCTCTTTCTGCCATGTTTCCTCTGTGTGACATTACCAGTGATGGGTCAGAGAGAGAGAGAGAGAGAGAGAGAGAGAGAGTGTATCTCCGGAGGAATGAGAGGCGTGAGTAATGAGTAATGGCTCATGGGTGGGCTGTGAGAGAATAGATCTACTGTAAGAGTCCTGAACAACTGGCTAATGGTCCCAGCTCCCCCTCTGTCCAAAGCTACCCACCATCCCAGAGAACATCCCGACATCCAGGGGACAATATCTGTCTGTCTCGCACTTTACTGCCTTCCACAGTTGAAAGTGTTTGCATTGGTGCGACTGTGAATGTGGATGTTACAGCAGTAGTCCATGTTTTGACAGCGTATCCCATCGGTTGCCCATTAGATAACTGGTTCATGGTGGATCCACGCACACAGTTTATCATGTACTATGTTTGGTAACAGTATTTATTTTAAGTATAAGCATTTTTTGGCCACTGCATGCAGTTATTTGAGAGAGTACAGTAGAGAGATGACGGGGAATAAAGGCAGATACTTCCATCAAAGGTCCCTCGGCTGATTTAAACTGGGGAGGTTTCACACCGTAAACCCCTCGTCAACTATCTTAAAATGTGACAAAATGAGCCCAAACGAAGACTTGAAGCAGCTCTAAAGTCAGTGGTGGAGAAAGTATTGAGATCTTTTACTCAAGTAAATGAGCTGCAAATACAGCAATGTAAAAATACCTCATTACAAGTCTCGCTGCCTTCAAAATCTTACTCGAGTAAAAGTAAAGAAGTGTTGTCAACAAAATATACTTGCAGAAAAAATGGCACTGTGAGAGTTACATCATTATACACTGTAATATGTAAGTGTTAATAATAATATATGAATGTTTAAGTAGCATTTTAATGCTGTAGCTTATATACATTTAGGTAGTTTAGTCTAGTTGTTCCCAACCACCGGCTCAGGCAGTCTGAGGGATTGTTAGGTCATAAATGGGACGGGACAGAAAAAAAAACAATGTTCTACACAGATCTGTTTACATTTGTTGACTTTTCTCTAGTCTTTGCTGCTTTTGTCAAATATTGGATGATCTGACCTCTCTGCGAACATTTTTGGATATCCCCTGAGACAGTTAAAAGATGACATGTCTCTTTTGCAGAACTGCTGAAATCTTAACTGAAACATGACAAGGGACCTTACCTAACCAGTGCCTTATTATGTATTAAGCTTATTATGTTTTTTAATGTTTTAATCTTAGCCTCAAAGGAAATTAGCTGTCAAATAAACATAGTGTGCAGAATTGTCTCTGAAATGTAGTCAGGTAGAAGGTATTTTTATTTTAGGCATTTGGTTTAATCTTTAATTTTTTTTAAAAAAAGCATTGCATTTCATGATATTATCATATACGTATTTAATTTAAGATTTTAATCTTGCTGTCAAATAAATGTAGCAGAGTTCTAAGTAAAACATTTCCCTCAGAAATTGAATGTAGTGAAATATGAGTTAAAGCGCAAGTATCTTAAAATCAAGTAGAATACCTGAGTAAATGTACTTAGTTACTGTCCATTAGTAACTAAAGCTGGTACATGATTTCACTGTGGTATGTAGTTAAGTCTTAAACAGTTTTGTAGCACTCTGTTTATATTTGTGCAGAATTTGCTGTTTCCATAGGAGGTGAAGGAGGTGGGTGATGAGAGGCTGCGCGGCTAAAAATAACTGTTTAGCAGCAACAAACTTGGCCACTGAACTACGCTGAGTTAATACATCAGATTTCTCCTGATAGCAGAGGGGGCTGAGGAAGATTATGTTAGTCAGTCCCTTCATATGACAGTCCAACACTTTGGCCCAGAGTAAGTCATTTCCACAGCTACTGACCAGATCTCCATGTAAACGCCCGAGGATATTCATGGTACCCAGAGGACGACAGCAAGTACGTTTGGTGAGCCCCCTGATCGCTCTCATAGTGCCATCATCAGGCCAAAATCTTTATGTTTTATACAAGATATATGAAATATTAATGTAAATATAATTTGCTGAGTACATTATAATGATACCATGGCCTTTCCTCTTCTTTACCGTACGACTTGTGAGACTCTAGAATAGCAAAGGATGCTGTTTATCCTTCCTGCTCACTGACAGTACATTAAACATTGCAGGCTGTTGTAGGTCTTGACCTGGATCATGGTCATGGCTCTGCTTCAGTCAACATGTGGTTTGAGGTCAAATGTGACAATCTGCTGCGGCCACATAGATGATTATTTGGGAATGTTCTTCTTGCTGAAATTCACTGGTTAGCTAATAATTAACATTATTTTATGTAGCTGAAATTGGGATCTCAACATAAATAGTCCATATGTTTTGTGTCTGTCTGTCCATCCTTGTCCTTCTTTCTTTCTCCTCCATCTTTGTCCCTGAGCTGACTCCTCCTCATACCCATGCTTCTCCTGTACGCACCACCCCTGAGCTGAAAGTCAAGGGCTTCATCCAGAGATCAGCCCATCCCCGGGAGGGACAGATCCCCATTGTCAGTGGACACAAAGGGCCACGCTGTCTGTCTGTCTGTCCTCCTGTTGGTCAGTGTCCCAGTGAGGAGGAGGATCAGTGCTGTCAGTCTCCCCGTCAGCTCTCAGGCCCATTCAACTTTTATTACTTCAGCTCTAGTATGAATTCATTCAGGCTGGAGATGTACACTTGCCGTTTGTAGCAGCTAAGCGTGCATTAAAGTTTTGATTACAGTTCGCTTTGTGCAAGTACACACTGTGACAAATTTCTCAGAAGAGTTGTGTGTGCGCAGAGATGTACATTTGCCTTCATGAGGGTGATGTGAGGTCAGCTGTAGGGAACAGGTCTCATGTAAGTTCAACATGTAAGCTCACAGTCAGAATATCAGTTTGGTTTCAGGTAAAACACAACTCTAATAGTACAGTAGTAATTTGTGTGTGAGCATGAATCTTTGTGTGCGTTCAGGGTTTGATGCTCAGCGCGGTCCTTTGATACACCGAATAACAAGAAAAGGAAATCAAATCGACTTTATCTCTGACATTTATTTAAAGGATTTTTCTGAATAGACTGTCTGCAGTTTAATGTGGAAGAGGCAGAACTGCAGGAATTCCACCACAGGATGGTAAACTTAGAGAAACCGCAGCCTTTATTGTGCCTTGATGATGAATGTGCTCACAGTGCACAGAGTTTGTGCTCACTTTTTGTGTTTGTTGATACTGATTTTCAAACTCATTCAACTCCTGCAGCCTTTTATGTGCCGAGTAAAAGAACACGAGGAACTTTCTTTGATCTGTCGTCTATAGTTTCTTCACAATCAGTATCAGTGTCAGGTTAAATAATCCAATGACCTCAGATTTTCACTGTAATTTTGCTGTTTGTTAAGACTAAAAAAAAAAAAACGATCCAAGCTGTTCAGAGTCTCTATCACCGTGTCCTGTGCCGTTTGCCAGTTAGACTGTCGGTTCTTTGGTCTCAATTGTTCTCTGGTGACATTTTGTAGAACTGAATCCCTCCTTTGTATCAAATTAATTACATTTTGAAAAAGCTAAAAGAAAGCTGGAGTGTAATCAGCTTCCCTCTGTGTCTGGCCTGGAACAACCTTTCAATTACAGAAGACTTCATCAAATGCAAGAGTGAGAGAGTTGAAGGAAAAGTCCACTTTAAATCATCCGGATAACCGGCCAAACACAGATGTAGTGGTGGAGGACGCACATAGATCTTACACAGGTACAGTTCTGTACATTGTGATTTACTTAAGTGCATTTACCCCAAATAAGAACAAGAAGGACAAGACATTAATCAGTGTCTTTTTAACAATCCCATTTCATATGTTCAGTATTTCTCACTGTGTGTAAGTCATTTTTTTCGTACATAGATAGATGACAGTGTCTGTGAAAAAGTCCAGATCAGATGGGTTTCTCTGAAGTCAGCATTTGATAACAATCTTTTTCTGTTTTTACATGAAGCCATAATAATCTTCAGAAGATAAATATATAGAAACCTTTACACAAAATAAAGAGGGATATCAAAACATCAATACTAAACCCCAAATCACTGATATTAAACTGAATATATGGACAGTACCAAAATATGTGGGCACGGCACTATAGTGCTGATCCACACTTCCTCCAGCAA